GCGCCGGTAAAAGCAAAATTGGCAAATTTTGACACCTTCCCCACAAGCTCACACGAAATTGCGAGTCTTGTGAGTCACGCTTGATTTTGCCCAGCCTCCGAGCGGTCCCTGACTCATTATGTATTCCAAAAGTTGACCTGAGAAAATCGGTTACAATGCGCAATGAATTGAAAAAGCTCCAGTGAATAACAGCTTTTCTACATCACCGGCAATCTGCTTGATTATATATTCGGGTTCACTTACCGCATCACTTCGACTTTGCCAATAGCGCAATCAGCAGCTGGTAGGCGTGATTAGATATTCCATCCCAAGACCCTCTGAGACCTGACCTAACTCACGCGGTGGTATAAAGTTATTTTGGCATTCTGTGCATTCGCTCCAAATGACGCCATTTTATTGCCATTTCGTGTTCTCGAGTCGTCTAAGCGCAAATCTCTGTCGCGCCTCCACCAACGCACAGTCAGCTTTGTCGGCCTCGCCGGCTTTGCCAGCTTTTCCAGCCTTGCAATTCAAACTCTGCTTCCCACAGTCTTGCCCATGCAAATCGGCTCAACTCTGGTCCCAATATCGATCGGAGCTTGGGTCGCATTTCGCCTAGCCCCTATTCGTTGACCCTTCTTGAATGTGTATAGCTCAATTGCACAAAAACACGCACAAACTGGACTGGAGCCGAAAGTGACGGCTGAGATCAAATCGCTAGACAAACTCTGGCGCATGATTGTGCGCTTTTACTCGCTCTTTATCTTACGCACGCACACACACACACACACACACACACACATGCATAAACACAAATTCGACAGAGCCAGAAATTGATCCAGCTTGGCAATTTTAAATCGCTTTGCGAATATGTGCTTTTGACAAATCTTGCTCTCTCACATACATTCAAAAGCCCGCATGCACGCGCACACACATCAAATATGCACGCACACCTGCTTGGAGGAGAGGCGAGCAGTCGCGATCGATCGCAGTCTGTCTCAGACATTTGATTTGCCACCTTCTTGGCTTGCGGTCGATATTGTTGTGCCTCGCCTCAGCTCTGCCGAAATATTCGCCCAAACATATTCAACAGTCGCGCGTTCGCTGACCGAGACGAGAATACAATTACCCAATGAGCATGCCTCAAGCTGCAAGTCAGAATACACAAAACACATTCCTTTATGAATTATGCGACTTTTCTGAATAGTATCGTCGAGATGGCGGAAGCGCTTTTGAAGGTTCTGTGATCGAGAGCCAAGCCAGGCCAACTAAAAGGAAATATGGACCATTTCTGACAGCCTTTCTGAACTTCTGGTCGTTAAATGTCCCATGAGTTGGTGAATTTGGTCTCCTCTAGCAGACATGTGCTCTTGCATACATCTTCCCGGTCTAGGTTTGTGACTCATTTCATAACTAGAATATTTTTCTTTGAACTCGAGAAGTTCTAAGCTATTACCTGGTTTGCATACACACACATGTTGCCGCTTTGTGTGAATATATTTGAGCTTAATATACGAGTGCACATATCGCTATCTCTTCATATTTATATGCATGCATGCATGTATGTACTGATATATGCATTAATGTATGACTGTGTGCTTGTGTGCATGTATTTATGTATGCATGCGTTTATGTAAACAAGAATGTATGTATGCAAACGTGCATATATGCATAAATTCATATTTATTTATTTATTCATATGACACGCATATTCAGAGGCGATATATTTCCACAAAGATCTAATATATGCACACATGCATATAAACGAACCCTCCTTGACTCATAAAATCAGGCCTCCCTAGAGACGAAAGCGGGAATAAAAGGGGGGACAAGCAGTTTGGGCAGGGGTATGATGATTACGCTGTTCGTTGCAGCTCTCCCCACTCTTCCTACATGGCCTCCGGCATGGACTGTGAATTCCTCCAGGTCACACTCGA